GCAATATTGAACCTGGTATAGGCCCTGTAAGACATAAAATTGAATGAGTTTTTAACCTTTAAAAAAGATCTCCATTTCATTTTAGAACATACTGTTCCTCACAGAAAAATTTGTTTTTGCTACTAACACTGAGATGCTGGCGCATGCATCTTTAATCTGTGTGTACCTGATTATTACCAGTCACAATCAGTTGCATTTGGATCCTTGGCACCTGTGTATGTCTATAAAGTCATCGGGTAGATTTCAATGATAATGTTTATCACCTCTACTAATCAGCATGACCTAAATTTCCAAGCTTCTTCCTCAAATATAATACATTTTTAAAATTTTGTTGATTGTGTGTGTGTGTGTGTGTGTGTGTGTGTGTGTGTATCACACAGAACATCCCAAACTACCTTGTTGAACTATACGCCCACTTCCCAGATGGCACCCTCCCACAGCCTCCCTCCACTCACTAGAGCCCTTATACGCTGATATCCCTGTTACTGCCTGCTGTGTTGTGGGCACCCACAACCATTCTCCACTACTTTCCCTTCCAGTGAATCTAGTCAGCCTATCTAGAGGTCTTTGTTTTAGGAAGGTCAGCTGTGCCTCATCTAGCAACAATCAGTTGTCAAATTTCCTTTAGATAAGATTGTGGTCTGCTGTTCATTTTCCCAGTTCTATGTTGGGTTACTATGTGGGAGTCCCTTTGGCCACCCTGGCCAAAAACTCAATAGAAGGTATCTCATATCTGGCATTGTTGCCTGTTATGTAGCCTTTAGCTATGCATATGGACTCTAAAATTATACTGGCGCCTTTAATCTTTGGTTATACTTTCCTTTTGGGTGTTTAAGGTCATATAGTTGGCTTAGATAAACCAATTTATTTTTACTCTTAAGGTCTTTGAGGATCTGTTCCTCAGGGGTTATATGAGCTTGGGAGGAGCCCCTGTCTCCATTCTTTTACTAGTTCCGCCTATGTGAAGATAAGTCAGAGATCCTGCTTGAACATGGTTGGCTTTGCTTAGAAGCATGAGGAAATGATTCCTCTGTGTTGACCCTCCTCTTTGGAGACTGGACACTGGTTCAAGTCCATCTTGTGGGGTCTCCTCGGCCTCCTTGATCAAGAGGACAGGTGACTCACACAATTACAGGACATTCTGAGAGATGCTCATAGTCCCCTGGAACTAGTCGACCTAGGAGGGCAAGGAACAAAAACTGTCGTTTATGTCCCTCTGACCAAATTATTATAGGCCTCAAAGTATGTCTGTTAAACACCCAAGAAGGTTAGTTCCACCAGTCTGGTACCTTTAATTGCTGTGTGTCATGTAGCTAAATCTTTGGGCAAAGATCAATTGTTCTCAGAAAAACCTTACCTAGACATATATTTCTTGATCTGCTATGTATAATTTGTCAGTAGGTTGTAGGAGTAATATGGTTCCCTCTGGTTTTCAAAACTAGCTAGGCATTGTTTATCTCTCGCATTGTCTCACCCCTCCATCATGGCTTCCCTAATTAAGGTGCCCCCATTCCCCCCCTTTCTCCCTTAATAATACCCTTCTCCTATGGTCCTACCTCTCTTGAGCTCCTTCTTTTCCTTTATCCCCTAGGTTCCTTGTATACCCTTCCCTCCCCCCTCCCTCAAACTAACCCAATGTTTATCCATATCTCCCTTATTAAGGCCTGTTTCCTACTGTTCTTCTCTTTCAGGGTCTTTCTTTTCCTTTACCTCCCTGGTTCCTTTCCATTATCTTTCGGTATATGCCTGGTTCCTGTAGTTATGTCTGGATACATACTCACTTATCAGGGTTTGGTTCTAGGATCCACATATGAGGGAGAACATATGGTGATTTTTTTTGAGTCTGTGTTACTTCATTTAGTATAACAGTTTCTAGTTCCATCCATTTACCTGCAAATTTCATGATTTCATCTTTCTTTACTGCTGAGTAAAATTCCATCATATAAATGAACCACATTTTCATTATCCACTCTCAGTTGAGGGACACTTAGGTTGCTTCCATCTCTTAGCTATTGTGAAGAGAGCAGCAACAAACGTGCATGTACAAGTGTCTGTGCAATAGGATGAGTTCTTTGGTATATGTCAAGGAGTGGTATAACTGGGTCAAATGGTAGGTTCATTTGTAGTTTTTTAAGAGTTCTCCACACTGCTTTCCATAGGGGTTGAACAAGTTTGCAGCCCCACCAGCAGTGGGTGAGTGATCCCCTTTCCCCGCATCCTCTCCAACATCTGGTATCATTTCTTTTCTTGAACTTACCCAGTCTGACTGGGGTGAGGTGAAATCTTAAAGTGGTTTTAATTTGCATTTCGCTAATTATTAGTGATGTTGAACATCTTTTAAGATGTTTCATAGCCATCTTTACTTCTTCTTTTGAGAAATCTCTGTTCAGCTCCTTAGCCCATCTTTTAATTGGATTACTTCTTGTCTTGATTCTCTGTTTTTTGAGTTCATTATATATTCTGGGTATTAAACCTCTGTCAGATGTGTTGCTGGTGAAGATTTTCTCCCATTCTGTGGGTTTTCTGTTCGCTTCCCTGGTTGCCTCCTTTGATGTACAGAAGCTTTTTAGTTAAATGAGGTGCCATTTGTTAATTCTTGCCCTTGTTTCCTGAGTAATTGATGTCCGGTTTAGAAAATCCTTTCCTACACCTATATCTTATAGGTTTTTCCCAATGTTTTCTTCTAACAGTTTCAGAGTTTCAGGCTTTACATTGAGGTCTTTGATCCATTTGGAATTGACTTTTGTGCAGGGTGAAAGACAGTTTAGTTCCATTTTTCAACAGGTGGAGATCCATTTTTGCCAGCACCATTTGCTGAACATGCTGTCTTTCCTCCAGTGAATATTCTTGGCCCCTTTGTCAAATATCAGGTGGCTGAAATCATATTTACTCATATTTGAGTCTTCAATTTTGTTCCATTGATATATGGGTCTATTTTTGTGCCAGTACCATGTTGTTTTTATGACTATAGCTCTGTAATACAGCTTGAAATATGGCATTAGTAACCACCCCCACACCCCCCACATGCTTAGTGCTCACGGTTGTGTTGGCTATCCGAGGTCTTTTGTGCTTCCCTATGAATCTTAGGATGTTTTTTT